GACTGCTTCACTTTCATCACGAAGGTTCAAGCGATCGAGATCACTTTTGTCTGGACTGATGGACAAACACACAGGGGTCAGTTTCGTCCCATGGCAGCGAGGCATCCCCATTCTCCAGGGAAGGCGCGACCAACTTGGGCGTGTAAACTCTGGGAGACAAAAAAAAGGCTTCCACTCGGCCCTCGATCTCACTCTTGCGCGCGTTCATCTCACTTGTTGACGTCGTCTCGAAGATCCACTTGTTGTATTGGCCCTTGGACAGTCTCGCCGGCTTGTTCGAAGTCATCTTCAGCAACGGCGCCGTCTTCGTCGAGGTCTCCGGTGCTAGCGAAGCTGCTGCCGGAGGAGCACGAAGCGAGCTGGGACGCGTAAGACGCGACTTGACGGGGGTACTGCCCGCCGCTACACTCGCTCTTCTCTTAAGCCCACCACGCTCCAGCCCACTGGCTACAGGAGGCGCTACAGAAGGTGCTGGGACAGACACCGTAGCAGATAAGCTCGAACCTCCACTGGTGTCAACTGTGTCGCTTACTTTCTGCAGCAAAGGCTTGAGAGCGCGCATGGCCGCTGGCTTAATATCCCGACACCCGGTCGTAAACACCACGTCCTTGCCCACCGACTTCATGACTTCAATCAGCACAAGCTGCGCCTTCTCACGCGCCTCGGACGACTTGTCCATCATGCACTGCACCGTGGGAGCCACCAGACAGCTCAGATCCAGTTTTTCGCACTTCTGCAGGTGCTCTACAGCCCATCCGAGCAGCTCAGCTCTGCCCACAGTGTTCGAAAGACCTTCCGATAACGGAGCCAGTAGACTCTCCACACACACGCTTGACGTCTCGTTGTTATGTCGAACCCACTTGTGGAGAGCCTGCACAGCCGCAGCTTGCATCGTCTTCTTGTTGTCGGCCACACCGGCGACCAGACTCGCGCCCAGAACCTTCGACATCTTGGCGATGTCCGGCCCGACACTCGCGGCCACGACTCCAATGACGTTCGCAGCCTTCACCTTCAAGTTGGCATTCGAGTCGTTCAGACGAGCCTTGAGCTGGCGGAGAGCTTCTTGCACAGGCCTCGTGAACTCAATCGCGCAGCCGGCGCCTTCACAGATGGCTTGGACGCTATCCATGGCCTCTGCGCGCTTCTTCCACGCCACCTTGTCCTTCTCGTTCTTCATGTCTTCCAGCAGCTCCTTGGTGATCTGGCTACTCACATCGACACGCCCGAACAGCGCGCCGGGGTCTGCGGCAGCCGGTGCCGCGTCTTGGCTTTTCACTTGGCGCTTAATCGTCGCCTGGGCCTTGACTGGATCGAAGCCCACCTTCTTGAACTCGTCTTCTACAGTCTTG